ATGCTGGTGATAATACAACTGTGATGATGCTGATGGTGCTGATGACGATACAGCTGCTGCTGCTGATGCTGATGGTGGTGTTGATGCTGCTGTTGATGGTTTTTCCGATGACGACGACGATGCTTATGCTGATGATGTGGATGACGATGATGCTGATGATGCTGATGATAAGTGTGGTGGTGATAGTGATTGCGATGGGGATGATGCTGGTGCTGATACTGCTGATGCTGCTGATGACGATGCTGATGATGATGATGATGGTGCTGATCATCATGGTGATGGTGATGGTGATTGTGTTGGTGTTGGTGATGGTGATGAGGATAGTGATGAGGAGTAGGGGAATGATGAGGAAGAGGAGGAGGAGAGGCAGGATGAGAGGGATGATCTGATGGGACGGAACTGGGCCTGACATCGACAAGGCTGCGCTGTGCCATCTGCTGGATGCAGCTGTTCTTGGCCCCGTTGCCGGGCGCCTTCCTCTATACATTGGCGCCTCCAGCGCGGGGAGGCTCCAGGGACATCGGATACGTGAGCTGACTCGCTCACTGCTCCCCTTTGCTACCCCGTTCGTCCGATGCGCGCGGGGGAGGAGGTGGCTGGAAACGGGGACGAGGCGGCCCGAAAGCACAATGGCATGGCAGCGGCATAGGCTGCCCGTTGCGAACGGGAGAGCCGTCGGGCTCGGTCCGTCGGCGCATGCCGGGGCTCCCCGAGAGGATGGGGCAACGGATGCGGGGGCGTGGATGAGATGGCGGAGGAGCACCGTTTGTGAGATATTCTCGCCCTCCCTCCCCCCCCATCGTCCCCGACTAGTTTTCTGCTTCACTCCATGCATGCGTGCCCGTTTCGTGTCCGCTGTGGGGCCTCCCCCCGCAATGGTAGGAGGAGGGGAGGCGGAGGATGAGGAGCACTCCAAGGACAAGGCAGACGACGCGAATGACCAGGACGACGAGGGCGAGCGCGGACCCGACGACGAAGATGAGGTGGAACAGAAGAGGCGAAGAGGCAGGAGCTGAATAGAGGGGGCTGAGCCGTTCGGCGCGGCGGAGCTGGGGAAGAGGGCGAGGGGGAGGAGGCGGAGGAGAAGGAGGAGACATGTAGTGTTGCATGCGGCCCTTGCCCCCCACCCTGCGTGAGTCGTCGAACAGGGGCAGTCACATTTGATGCATTTTTGGCGCCTCTTGGAGGCATGTTCTGTGCCTCGTGGGAGCCTCCTTGCGCCTCTTGAGGGTGACAGTGACCTTAACGTCTGATAACTATCTCGGGAGGCATTGTGGGCTGGAGGGCTCGTAATGGCAATTCCAGGTCCCCCTCGCGGGCCATCTTGGACGACTCTTGGAGGGCTTATGGGCCGTCGTGGACGCGCAGAAGATCAAAGCTTAAGGCCGTTCAGTGGTGTTGGCCTCCTGGGCTGGCCCCCAATGCATCCAGGACCCCAGCATAGCCCCAGGACGGACTCTTGGGTTCATCTAGAGACACGTGGTGCGATCCAAAAAGGGTTTTGCCTCCGTGGACCGAAGGAGCTGCTATGTTTTCCTCGGCGGGAGGCGGCGGAAGGTGACAGAAGTAAAACGGCGGTTGCTCCGCCAGCGGAAATTCGTCGGGAGGTTGCGGAAGTAAAAAGACGCGCCCCCAAGCGATGACTGGGGGGCCACACGCGAACCCTACCCCTACCCCTCACGATTTCTGAGGGGGAGGGTGGGGTAGGGTTCGCGTGTGGCCCCCGAGCGATGCCAACATTCTTGGGTTGAGGGTTGTCAGAAGCGGCCACGTGGGAAGAGGGGATTCCCAACCATGCCCCCGAGGGCTCCGGAGAAGCCACACGACACGCCCCAATGCCCAAACGAGCGCCCAGGGGCGCCCACGAATCCTCGGAGTCGGGGGTCTCGGCACAACCGAGACCCATCACGAGAATACACAGTGAGTGAGAGTTCCGATGTATTGGTGGACGTTACACTCAGTGCCTCGTGGCACGGTGACGGTCGAGCTGTGGTAGGAAGGTCTGGAATCTTGGAGATGCGTGTTGGATTGTTTATTGTTGAATGCTCATGTCCCCCGCTTCTCGCTCAACTGCGTGTTCGCGCTCAGCCCGCGGTGGCTGCGATCATCAAGGACTACCGTGGCAAGGCGGCCACCCATTCTGCTTTGGCTTCATGGTCTCTGTTCGTTCATTGCTTCGGGGTACTTTTGGTTGGAGCCGACATGCCCTCACGTCTTGCCGTCGTGCGCAACAGCAATGCGAGCTGGTCTCGTTCTTGGCGCCGTGTCGGGCCCGGGACTTTCACGGGTCGACCTGACTTCAAACACACACAGTAGGCAGCAGGGTGTGTGGCCACGCACGGTGTTGAGGTGTTTGCAGATGGCATTGACCAGGAAGGTGGGCGTCGAAGTTTTGGTCGGGCGTCGTGCCAGGGGCGGTGGAACGTTGCGGAGTGCGTTGCAGACATGGAGGGACGAGGGACCAACAGCAATGGACGCCCTGGGGTCTCAGGTATGGGTTTCTTGTGGAAGGTTTCTTGAGGACTGGCCTCCACTGTAAGGACGGACATGGCAACGCCGAGGGGAGTGTCAGAGGAGAGGCAGCCCAAGGAGGCGGCCCAGGAGGAGGTGGCAGAGGAGACGGGAGCAGGGAGCACACAGGAGCTACTGGTAGGAGGACGGAGGGAGAGGAGGAAGCGAGGAGACGCGACGCAGAGGAGGGGTGTGGGTGGGCCGGGATTTTGTTTTGTTTGGGAGGGGGGGGCGAGACGAGGCGGTGCCCGTGGAGGGCAGGGCGGTTGCCAGGTGGAGCTTGAGCTCAACAACAAGTGCGCAGAGATCCTGAACATCCTCGCGGATGGTGCGCCTCCTGCCCTTGCCGCAGGAGGAGCTGAGCAGGACGAGAATGGGCTCGTCGACGGCGTGGGTGTTTGCGCGTGCCCGTCTTCCTGCTGCCTCGGGGGACCTCCAGGGGGGCCTCCTGCTCTCGGGCCCTCGTGCCGTTCCCCTCCCCCCCCCTCCTCCCCCTCGTCGTCAACCTCCACCTCCTCCTCCACCTCCTCTCCTCCTCCTCCTCCCCCTCCCTCCTCCCTCCCTCCTCCTCCTCCCTCCCTCCTCCTCCTCCTCTCCTCCTCCTCCTCCCTCCTCTCCTCCTCCTCCTCTCCTCCTCCTCCTCCTCCTCCCTCCCCTCCTCCTCCTCCTCCCCTAGAATCCCCGCCGCCATCCTCCGCAGCAGTGGCAACCCCTGCTTCCTCCTCCACACCCTCCTGCGCCTCCCCCCCGCGCCGATGCTGATGGCTCGAGCTCCACGTCGGTCCCCCTCCCCACCATGTCTCCTCCCTTACGCTGCCCCCCTCCCCCGCCTCTCCCCCCCTTCCCCCCCACCTCCCCTCCGCCCCTTCAGTTGTCGTTGTTTCCGACATTGCCGCCGTTGCTATTTTGGCGCCGCCTCATTCGGTGAGTCGTTGGGTTCGGCGGGGTCCTTGCAACAATCTGGATGCAATGATGCATTGTTCGTTGAATCCGAAGTTGCCGCCGATGCAGTTTTGAAGCCGAGTCCCAGTGTGGAGGCTTGCTCGGCGGACTCTCTGGATGGCCCTGAAGACCCAGTCGCGTCGACGTGTCTTTTGCCCTCAGACGTTAAGACGTCTGAGGGCTCGGTGTTTGACACGCGCGCGAAAATGCTTTCAGACTCGGATTGTTATCTGCTCTGCCGCTTTTCCGACGGCGCGGTGGTGATAGCCTTGCTACGGGATAAGCCAGTCGCATCAGCCTTGTAATGTGCGCGCTAGTTGTGCAGCTGGTTTCTGGGTTTTCGGCCAGGGCGTTGGGAGCCCGCCACTATTCTCATTATCCAGTGTGTTAGTTCTTCCGGGAGCCTAACCTGCAGCGGCCCGAAGCAACAACAAAACAAAACGTCCCCTCGGCCCCGATTTCTCCCGCCCCTCCCCCCCGGTTCTCCCTTCCGGTATTTTGTCTGGTCGCCGAGAACGTGAGTTCGGGATCTTCGACGGCGAAGGAAGTGTGTCCAGAATCTCCCAACCGACTCGCTATAGACAGAACGGTTTTTCAATCATATATTATGTTAACAATTTCGGCGAGAGCTTTACGTAGTATTGTTCAGTGCGACGCACAAAACGACACTCCGGAGCATCTCTTACCTTCCGCCCCGCCGCGGGCGCCGCAGCTTGCCGCGGCGCCAGGTGGTGGGGCGGGCTGGGTCGGGTTGGGGGATGCGCTCGGGGGGGGGGGGGGGGGGGCGGGGGGGGGGCGTTCCTGTACTTCGTGGTTTCCGTCTTGTTCGTATTTCTTGCCTTCTCTCCCTGCTGTGGGGGCAAGGTAAGGACTCCCCCGCGCGCGGCGCTTCGGCGCGCGCCGTCCCAACCGCGGGGTCGACCCACCAGGCGGGGCGCGCGCGCTGTCAGGCCGCCGTGGCGGCTGTGTTTTTTGCCACCGTGCCAATGCGACGGCGTCGATGCGGCCGCGGCGATGCGATGGCGTCGACGCGACGGTGCCAGCGCGACCGTAGCAGTGCGACCGCAGCAGTGCGACCGTGTCAGTGCGACTGCGGCAGTGCGGCCGTGTCGGTGTGATCTTGTCAGTGCGGGAGTCAGTGCCACCGCGCCAGTGCGACGGCGCCAATGCGACCGTGTCCGTGCGACCGCGTCCGTGCGACCGTGTCAGCGCGACCGCGTCAGTGACACCGTGCCAATGCGATTGTGTCCATGCGACTGTGTATGTGCGACCGTGCCCATCGCCGCGGGCGCCGCAGCTCGCCGCCGCTCGCCGCGGCTCGCCGCGGCGCCCGCGGCGGGGCGGGCCGAGTCGGGCTGGGGGCGTCGTTCGGGGAGGGGGGCTTGTCTCAGGCCTGGCATCGCTCGGACGTGCGCATCTTTCTTTCGGCGAGGACCTTCGAGGAGCAGCCTGGATCATCGGGCGAAAAAACCACCCACGAGACCGACAAGAACACCGGGAGGGGACGTCCGAGCGATGGCCAGAAGGTACCTTTGTGCTGTGTGGTGTCCGTCTCGCTCGTCTTCATGGCCTTTTCCACCCCCGGCGGGGGGGGGCAAAGACGCCCCCGCGCGCGGCGCGCGGCGCGTCGGCCCGCGCCGGCCCGGTCGCGGGTCCGGCGCGCCAGGCGAGGCGCGCGCGCCGTCGCGCAGCTGTGGCGGCAGCGTTTGGGTCTCGCCCTGCTCCGCCATTGGGGTTGGGGAGCGGCCGCGGGCGACGAGCGCGTCGCTCGCCCGCGCCGCGGGCGCGACCTCCTCCTCCTCCTCCTCCTCCTCCTCCTCCTCCTCCTCCTCCTCCTCCTCCTCCTCCTCCTCCTCCTCCTCCTCCTCCCCTCCCCTCCCCCTCCCCCTCCTCTTCCTCCTCCTCCTCCTCCTCCTCCTCCTCCTCCTCCTGACTGGCGCTCCCAGCCCCCCCCCCAGCTTTCGGGAGTTCCAGGGCAGCGTCGTCTGCCTGGTCTTTGCAGGTTACGTTTTCAAGACATCCAGAACCCCAGAAAGGCCGAAACGCCGCTCCGAACGTCCCATGTGCACGCCCGCAATCACAACGCGCAGTTCCGGGGCAGTCCGGGTGTGATTCGGAAAACGTGTTGTTTTGTTGTTTGGCAATATTCGACCGTCGGGCTTGTTCGGCGAAATATGCAAAGTGTCGGTAACGATATCACCCTTTACATAGTAACACCGCGCGGCCGAACCGTGCCCATTCACAACGGTTTTGGTCTTTCTTGCGAGTTTTGGAAAGATCTCGGTCTTTCCCTGCGCTTGCTCCCAGGCGTTGGCCATTCTTCTATTCAGCATGCCAGGCAACGGCAGAGCGCCTGTAGCGCGCTGTCAATCCGCCGAGGCCCCCCCCAACAGTCCAGTTGCCTTCCTCTGTTGCTGCAGTGTTTCGTCCGCCTCGCGGCGCGGGCGTGGGCGCAGTACGCCTGGGGGGCATGCGGGCGTCGGCACGCGCGAGCTTGGCGTGAGGGTGGTGTTCGCACACGAGCTTGCTCCGCTGCTCCTCCGCCCCCTCCTCAATCCTCCCCCATTGCCCTCATCTTCCCCTCCTCTTCCCACCTCCCCTCCCCTGCCCATCCCCCATGTCTCCCTTTCCTCTCCCCATCCCCGCATCCCCCCTGTTCTGCTTTTCTTCCCCTCCCCCCATGTTCCCCATCCACCGTCCCATCCCCCCTTTCTGCTGCCCCCTCCTCCTCCTCTCCACCTCCCCCCCGGCGCCCCGCAGAACTGATCCCGAAGGCGAGCAATCCCGAGGTGAAGGCTCGCGGGGGCGCCCCTGGCCGCCGGGGGGGGCAATCGTCGTCGTGGGCGTGGCCTCGGCCGCCAAGGTCGTCTGCGCATTCTCGGCCGTTGTAGTGGTGGTTTGGGTCGTGGTGTTGGTCGCCCTTAGCTTACGTGGGCGCGGGTTGTTGACGCAAGGCGCAGCTTCGCGGAGTGCGTGCTCGGAATGTGAGGGGCGGGTGGCGCGGGAAGATGGAGGGAGGAGGAAGGACGTCGTCGACGACGACGACGACGACGCAGAGGGGTCTTCGGTGGTCTCAGCTAGGCTGGCTTCTCCACCTGAAAACTAATAAGGATATTGACGGATTCTGACCGTCGAAGACCCTTGACAACGCAGCTACCCGTGGCAACTTCAACGGCATGGTTATTGTAAGGCATTTGCACGGCAGCAGCGGGGCAACAGCGTGGTTCGATCGCGGCCTTCGCGTGCAAGTTGCATGGCTCTAGCATGGCAGCATGCTGGCATATGCAGGGAAACAGCGCGGTGACAGCAAGGCAAAAGCAAGGCAGATGCATGGAACGTGTATGGAAATAGCACGTCAACTCCACGGCATACGTTCGGCAATTGAATGGCAACAGCATGGCAAACACACGGCAATTGCAAGGCATTCGCGTGGCAATTGCATGGCAATTGCACGGCTTTGGCATGCCAATTGCATGGCAACACCATGGGGGCAGCATGGCAATTGAATGGCAACAGCGCGGCAATAGCACGACAATAGCATGGTATTTGCATAACAACAGCTTGGCAGCAGCATCGGGTATAGGAGAGGCGGAACTGGGCATTTGGGCACGAGGCATGGGGAGGGGGGCAGTTGGCAACTACAGTCGGAATCTGGAATTAGGACGGAAGGCAAGGACGCAAGACTTTTAGAAGCCGCAGCCCCAAGTCTAACCAGCAAGGCTGGCAAACGAAAACGCCGAAGGACGAGCCCCAGAGGTAAGGACGCGTGGGCACCGTCGAATAGTTTTTCGCTATCAAGTCATGGGAGCCTACTATAACCGTGTATTTCCGTTTTTAGCGCCGATAAGCGTCGATTGGCGTTGATCAGCGTCTAGGAGCCGATGAGATTGCGCCGAATTAGCGTCGACTAGCGTCGATTGGCGTCGATTTTAGCGTCGACGATCGTCGATTCGCGAGAGCCGACAAGATGATATGGGAGGCTCCCACGAGATGCCACCGAATGGTTCCTCGTCTGTGCGTTTTGACTGCAGGGAGGTAGAGGCTGGGCGAGGGAGGAGCCGATCAATCAGCGGGCGAAGAACGGTATAAAATAAACTTTTCCGCCGTCGGGAACGCCTGCCCCTGGGCGGCCGGAAAGTTCATCCCCCTACGGTGCCACCGTAAGGGTATAAGTTTTCCAGCCGCCTTTGGACAGGCGCCCCCGACAGCGAACACGTTTATATTTTCTACCGTTCTTCGCCCGAAAAATCAGGGTGGCACCCGTACATGGCACGTGCGTTCGCTGGGCGCCCAACTGATGTTTGTCGACGGTCCTGCAAGTCAGAATCAACATTTCGTTCAAAGGCACGGTCGCCGGGTGTCGAGGGTGGAGGAGGAGGAGGAGGAGGAGGAGGAGGAGGAGGAGGGCGGAGGAGGAGGTCGCAGGAGGGCGGAGGAGGGCAGAAGCCCAGTCAGGGGTTCTGTGGGGTTTTTGCTCCAGTGTGTTCTCGGGGATTCAGTGTGTTCTCGGGGATTCTAGGGGGGAGGAGGAGGAGGAGGAGGAGGAGGAGGAGGGGGAGGAGGAGGTGGAGGAGGAGGAGGAGGAGGAGGAGGAGGAGGTGGAGGAAGTTGACGACGAGGGGGAGGAGGGAGTGGTGGGCGGGCCCTTGCCTCCACACCGTGGCGGGGCGGCGGCGGCGGCGGCCGCCGGTGGACGCTGCGGGACTGTCCCAGAGCGTGCGCAGCACCAGGGGGAGAAGGAGGAGGTTCCACATAGCTGTTAGGGATTGGGGATTTTCCAGGGGCTGGCTGAGGAGTAGGTGGAAAAGGAGAAGGAGGAGGAGGAGGAGGAAGGAGGAAGGAGGAGGATGGAGGAGGATGGAAAAAGGAGGAGGAGGATGAGTTGTTCCCCAGGATCAGGCCGACTGCCACAGAGAAGAGTATCGCGAGGAGGCGAGCAAGAGAAGAGGCCTGGGGAGGCCTGCCCATGCCGGATGCCACTGCCCCAGTGCGGCATTCGCGGGGTTCCCTGCCCCACGGCCAATGTTTGGCACGCCAGGCGAACGCCCCTTTTTGCAAAGGATGCACACGGTGCATGGGGTTAGGGGAACAAAAAGTGGCATAAACATAAAAACGCGGAGGTCCGCGCGGATTTTTTGGATCGGCGCTGGACCAACTTGGCGGCGCCTCCGGCGCCGCCCCTGGCGCGCTCCGCGCGTCAGGGAGGGGGGTCCAGCGCGGATCCGAGAAGTTCGCGCGGACCTCAGAGTTTTTATGTTTATGGTACTTTTTGTTCCCCGAGCGCACACCCGAGCAGTGCCCACCAACATGGAAATTGGCCTGGCATATGTATGTCTTCACAAAGTCCACCACCACATCCAAGTCGATGTTCCTCGTTCCGCTGCAAGGCCCTCAAAGCTAAGCAAGCCCGTGGCCCGTGACTTCTGTGTTGGTGTCCCGTTACATGTTGTCATGAATGATTCATGTATGCAATTATGTAGTTGGCACGCCACGGCATTCCCATCAGCGCAAAGAAACTATGCATCGATCTCGGTCATGTATCTTCGATCTTCGATCGTTGCCCTTCCCCCCCTGAAGTTCCAGGGCCCAGTTCGATCCGACCGATCCGATTCGATATCCACTATTGCCCGCTCGATTCGATCCGGTTCGATCATGATATCCCGACGATCCGATGCGGCCCGGAGTTTACATGACGTTGTTGTGCATTTTGGCGTGGCCGATCCGGTTCGATTCCGACTCCGTGCCGATGCGGCCCGGCCCAACGCACGCTCCTATCCGATCCGAGTTGCCACGTCGATGTTGACCGATCCTACGTTCGCCGCCCTCGAGGTTTTCTACCTCAAGATGAAGGGCGACTACCACCGCTACCTGGCCGAGTTCGCGGAGAGGGACTCGGGAGACTACGGCGGGCCCACCGCTTGCGTCGCCGTCGTCGATCGGGGACTGGCGGCCAGATGGACGGCCTCCTCTTCCTCAACCTCCTCGTCCTTCTCCTCCTCCTCCCCCTCCTACTCCTCCTCCTCCTCCTCCTCCTCCTCCTCCTCCTCCTCCTCCTCCTCCTCCTCCTCCTCCCCCGCTTCCTCCTCTTCCTCTTCCTCGACCTCCTCGTCCTGCAGACGCCGCCACGGCGCAAGTGCATTCCCTGTTTTCGCGATTGCTGCACCTGCAGTGGCGCGAGATGCAGGGGCAGCGGTATCTCTCTGTTTCCCTGGTGCGGGGCCCGCGCTCGTCGTGGAATATGGGATGGCTCGGTGGCAAATATCATGGGAGCCTGACATACCATTTTGATGCTGTCTTCGGCGTCGGTGAGCGTCGACTAGCATCTGGGAGCCGATGAGATGTGCCGACTTCGCGTCGGCTAGCGTCGACCTAGCGTCGATCCAGCGTCGATTTAGCGTCGACTAGCGTCGATCAGCGTCGATCCGCAGGAGTCGAAAAGATGGCAGGAGGGGCTCCCACGCATTGCCATCGAAGCCCAGAATCCATCCGCCTGTTAGGAGGACATGCCCGACCTGCCACTTGTGTGGGTCTCGTGGCGAGGAGGCAGCAGCTAAGTTTGGGAACGTGGGGGCGATTCTGCTGCAGGGGGCGTGCAGGCAAAAAGGTGCGATCTGCTGCAGCGGACGCGCCTCATCTGTTATTTCGCAACTCGCGTCACTCTGATATGTTCCTTAGCTTCTCGGGGTCATCGAACAAGTCCTTTGGGACTAGCTAGTATCATGCTGCACGACTACGTTGTCCCTCGGCGGTGTATCCGACGAATTGTTCGCGCCACCCGTGGAGTTGGAATGACAATGTGGCGCGATTCGCTTAAAATCTGGGTTTCTTTGGTGTACTGCTCGTGACGATTTATGTTCCTGTTTATTAGAATTCCCGCGCAAATAGAAGTGGGCAGCGGCAGACAGTCAATCAAATGATCACCTGACCAAGGAATTTGATACAATCGCTTGGAGGAACATGCACGCCCATCATCGGCATGAACTTTGAGCGACGGTTTGGGCATTTCTCGGGGTTCTCTTGTGAGTGTGCGGCGATTTTTGTTGAGGTGGAGGAGGATGGCGATTTGATTTGTACCAGGCCATGCCGTCAGGATGTTGAAGGCGCTGCTGGAAGCGAGTTGCGGCAGCTTCTAGTGGATAGGCAACTATGTGCGATGAACGCGTTCCTGCGGCTGGGCCCGATCTTCCACCAGATGGGTGAATCACCGTTGCGACTTGATTTCCTGGTTTTACCTCAGCAGCTGCGATCCTCTACGGCGAAGCGTTCCGTTTATCATGGCACATGGGAGAAACGTCAACCTATAGCGATTCTAGACGACCGCGAGTTTTGACAAAATCTTCTTGGAGGCGCGATTCGACTTTCAAGCATTGTTCGGTGACAAGTCCCCTCTGACAAAATCATTCGCCCGCTGACTTTTGGAAAGGAATGTATTCCGGCGCTCGAGGAGATCCAGTCAGTCGTGACGGCAAGTCCCGAGGACGAGTGGATCAGTCTTTGTGCGAGCTCGATGATAGCCAAGACGCAGGATTTCTTCGCAAGCATCAAGTAGGAGCTGTCGCCGCTGAAAAAAAACAACATTCGTTTTGGTTGGCGTCGAGGAAGCAATTCTGTGGACAGAATATCGGGCTGATCGAGCTGGGCGCATCGCGGCGGGAGGATTTGGAGCTGGGGTTCGCATTTGTGACACTTCGGATACGCCAACTGTCTAAGCTGACCGTTAAGGATACCGCGACTTCCCTCGCGGCTGAGCTGAATGAAGCTCGGAAGCCGCGCGAGGATCTCAACGCGCAGCGTCTCGTCCACCGCTTGGCCAAGCGCGGCGCAGGACCTCGACGCTGGAAGTATTTTGTGCTGAAGGCGGAGACCAGCGAGGCAAGCGATATGTTTCAGTTGCCGCGTCGTCCCGCTTCTGTGGGCGGACGGGGGGCTGCTCCTCGTGATGTGCGAAAAGAGGAGTTGGTTCGGAGGCTTGAGCGGCCTCGCGCTGACGGCGGAGGAGGCGTGCTACAGTGCGATGCAGTTTCGGAGCACATTCCAGAGTCGCGCGCCTTTCTGGTCTCTCCCCTCGCAGCTCTGGCTTCTGCTCTTAGATAATTTCACGCCAGGAACAGCTCCGCGGCGCTGGTCTCGGAGCGGAGTTGCGCCTCTCGTCGGCGACAAGTTTTCTCGAGCGCGTCCTGGACTTGCTTTCTTGTCTCCGCAGGACTGGTGCCGCGCCCCTCATCTTTGACGTTTCATCGCGCTGGGGCTCAGGTCGACATTTGCAAAACAGCCGACTGGAAGATGTTTTACACATGCAATGTTGTACTTCTTGGAGGTTGCAGGAACCTGGATGCTCCAGCGTGATTGCCAATCAGGACGCCAATCACATGTTGTTCGAGCGCGTTGCGTGGAACACTGCTGGACAGTTTACCTTTGGTCTATCTTCCAGAATCTGTATGATTTCAACATCAGCGGATTATGCTCATTGCCAGTGAGATTATTGCACCAGCCGCGCTGGTCTTTTCGAGGCCGGCGACGAGCGACTTCATGGGCAACCCCAACGTTGCGCGCGGCTTCCCATACTTCTACCAACGAGGCACGGAGCTTTTCGGGGGGGCAATTCGCCAGCGGACAACATCGCGCTCGATGGCAACAGCTACTGAGCCACATGGAGTATCCACCGACGTGGGCCGGTCGCTCTTTGCGGACGGCATCACAATGCATGTTATCTCTGAGCCAGGTCCGCCTCCTCATCGGCTGGGCGGTGAAGCCAGCCATCGCCTGGCGTGTGCTTGCGTCGGCAGCAAGCGCTTGCAACGGGCGTCGGCCCAGATTGGCGCCGCCTTGGTCGTGCAGCTGGACCACATGGCGACCTCCGCCAAGTGGAAGAGGCGAGTGAAGAACGTGATACAACCAGCAACACATGGTTTACATGTCTGGCTGATGATGTCCTTGTAGCTCCCTTCCACGGAAAGAGGTGTTGAACAAATGCATCGGGGCGAGGTTCTCGGTTGCAGAGCCAACAGCGCCGGACGTTGCGGCAAGATCGTCCGCCGAACCCCGCGAGTGCGTCTGGGGCGCCCTAGCGCTTTTTGAGTTGGAGCGGAGTTTGGGAGCTCCAGGTGGATTGGATGGTGCGGACCACGCCCAGAGCGGAAACGATGTACGAGTGCAGCAAGGCCGCAAAGTTCCGTTGTGGGCGATGGTATATATATATATGCACATACACAGACAGACACAGACAGACAGAGACAGACAGACATACGTATATGCATACATACGTACATATATACATACATACGTACATACAAGCATGAATACATACGTACATACATACATACATACATACATACATACATACATACATACATACATACATACATACATACATACATACAGCCCCCCCCCTCGCGATCCCATGGGGCGGATCTCCTGACCCGCATCCCCCCCCTGTCCCACACCCCCCCACACCCCCCGCGGGGAGTGCATCCAAGGGCACGGGGCTTCGTTTCGATTCACCAACGGCACGTTCCTTCTGGCTGGCGGCAGGCGGCTGCAGCGGCGGGCCGGGGGACGCCGGAGGGAGCGGCGCCGGCGACGGCGATGGCGGCGACGGCGGTGAGTCAGACGGGACAGCGTCCCCCACGTGCCGACAGGGCCGGCGGGTTTCTCTGCGCACGGAGGGCTGTACTCAAACGACGCGAAGATCGGGACAAAATCGGATCAGGGTAACTCGAAGTCTCTGAGAATCGGCGGGTTTGGAGGATGTATTGGGCACCGCGGCCGCTCCAGAGCGTTCCGGAACGCTCTGAGAGCGCTCCGGAACGCTCTGGAGCGATTTATCCCGATCCTAGCCCTGTTTTGTGTACAACAAGCGCCTCACAACAGACGCCTCCGCTGGCAGCCGCTCGGCACCCGGTCGCAAGGACGACCGAGCAAGCGGTGGACAGGCGACGCGTGAGGCAGGTGTTCTGAGGCAGCACGGCGCGTGGAACGTCTCGGTGCCCGAAGACCCTTCGCGGGCGCGGGTCTCCGCGCGCTGGGCCTCTCTCGCAGGTGTCCGTGTGGCAGCTTTTGGTTGTCATTTGCTGCGCGGTCGGCCCCGCATTGCGCTGTCGCCGTGGGCGGCTTTGGCCAGTCGGGGGGCAAAGTCATGGCAAAGAGGGTGTGTTTAACTATCGGACAGGGCCTCCGCGGGACGATGGGGCCACTTGCTTCTGCGAGCCGGGACCGGAATCTCCGGGCGTGCTTCCGCGCGTGGGGCTCGCAGGGGCGGCCGAGCGAAGCACCCTCTCCTTGATGCAGCCGCCGCATGTTCTGCCAGAGCGAGACATGCAGCTCTCGACAGGTGCGCTGGAACGACGGGCCCCTGCTCACCCTTCCTCTCGTCCTCCCCCCCCCCTCCTCCTCTTCAGAAGAAAAACGCCTCCCTCCTCTTCTCGTCCCCCCCCTCCTCCTCTCGTCCTCCCCCCCCAGCTTTGGCGGTGCCAGCGTCGCCCCTGGCGCGCGGCGCGCGCCGGCGGAGGGGGGATCCACCGCCGATGCAAGAAACCCGCGCGGACCTTCGAAAGTTTCCTTTCAAAACGGTAGAGGGGGCGAGTGGGCAGACGCCTGAACGAAGAGGCGCGACGGAGGGCGCGGGAAACGTGTCCGTGCCGCGCTGGATCCTGCCCCAACCGAGGCCAGGGAGGCCTCAGGATGCACACGGGTGCCCAGTGCGACGAGCCCAGACCCCCGACGTCGTGTTTCTTTCTTTGACACGTGGACACCTGGAGGTCCTCCTCCTCTTCCTCCTCCTCTCGTTTTCCGTCCGTCGGGGACCAGTTTTAACTTGAGTCGTTTGTCGACGGCTCCAAGGCGCAGCAAGGGTCTTATAGGCCGAAAACTGTGAAGAGCCGTCCGCCATCACTCGTTCATGACCCGAGTCGGTGGAAAAAATTCGAACCCCACCCCCGCTTCCCACTGAGTCATCGGGGGTGGACAGAACCCCCACCCTGACACGTCGATTTGCGAAGGCGCGGGCGTTACATCTATCGATGCACGGCCGGTTCCTTCTAGGGAGCAGCCTCCTTCTGAGAAGCCCTCCCCCCTCCCTCCACCCCCTTGTGCGCGCCGCCAAGATTTCAGGACAGCCGATGCTTGGCGGGGGTGGGGTTCGGATGTGGCCACCTGCCGCGGGGGCCTCGGCTGCCTCTCCTCTCCCCCTTGCCCCTGCCGACGGCCCGCGGCGCCTCGGACGGCCGGTCCGCGGGGGGCACGCGAGCGCAGACGCCCCCGCCCAGGCAAGGCGTCGCAGGACGCGCACGACAGCTACGAGCTCGCCATGGAGAGCGCGGGGGAGCTTCCGCCGGGGCCCCGGGAGGAGCCTCAGAGGAGGAGCAGGTGGCTGCCGATGCCGCTACCCTTCCTTCGTTTTTGCCCTTCTCTGGGCCTCCTGGGAAGCCTTCGTCGCCACCGCTGGCTTCGCCTCGAAGTTCTGGTCAGGGTGCACCCACGGCGAGGTCTGGGCAGTAGCTTTATCGGTACCTTCTGGTATTCCCCAGAGCCGAGAACCAGTCAATATCTTCTACGCGTTCGCGCCAGAGGCAGGACGGGAATTCCGAGGGAGGGAGGAGTAGGCGGGGCAAGAGCAGGGAGACGCAAGGAGGAGGACGAGGTGCAGGGAAGACGCATCGAATAATCAAGCGCATCAGCATACATGCTCGGAGCCCCGCGCAGATTTCTTGCGTCGGCGCCAGGGCCCCCCCTGACGGCGCCTCGGGCGCCGACCCTGGCGGGTCCCGCGCGCCAGGGAGGAGCCTCCAGCGCCGAGCCAAGGAACGCGCGGACCTCCGAAAGATTGTGTGTGTGTGTTGCAGTTTGTCCAGTAAGCGAAGGCCCTGACTCGCGAAGGCGAGGCCAAGTTCGGCTCTCCGTCCTCGTCTCCTCGCTTGCCGCGGGGGGGGGCGGTCCCAGAGGCCTTGTTGCCGCGCCGGTGGAGAGGGAAGCAGGAGGAGCGGGAGCGAGCAACGACAGCAACTTGCAGTCGAGGTCGATTGTTAGGTCGGCCCTGCCAAGGCAAGGGTACTTACCCTTGTGTCCTGTGTTCCGCGACCCATGACTTCTACACTCCTATGGCAATGTGGTTCTCGGAAGGGTCTCGTGTCCTCTCGCGTGTCCTCTCCAATCAACCTCGCCTGTAAATTTCCGGAGTGGGTCCAGCGCCGACCGAACAAATGTTCGCAACTTTCGATTGTGGATTCATGCCGTTTCATTGTTGACTCCTTGTTGGCCATTGTTCCTCCTTTCTGGGCATCAGGGATGCCTCTCAGCCTAAGCTGAGCGAGTGCGTTGTCGTCGTCGGCGTCTTCTTCGCCGTCGCTCTGGAAGTTTGCGGTTCTTGGCCACCTCTGGACGCGGCTCGGAAAGATAGCCAGGCGCCAGTCCGTTCAGAGGTCGCGCAGAGAAGGAGGATATGGGGAAGTGGCAGAGAAGCAGGCAAGAGGAAGAGGGAGAATGACGAGGAAGACAAAGAGGAGAGACGAAGAGGAGCAGGAAATAACGAAGCAGGAGAGCAGAGAGGGAGGAGAGAAAGGGAGGAGGAGAAGAAAAACGACGAGGCGGGCCGAACCCCTTGTGCTGGGCCCAGGAGGCTCCGTGCCTCTGCCCACGGAGGCAGGTCGGGGCCACACCTGTGGACCAAGCCACGCAGAGCCGAGCCCCTCGCAGGGAGAGTCGGGTATGGCCAGGACCCCGGGTAAGGGGACCCGGTTAGTGGTAGGGCCCCGGAGCCTTCGAGTTGGCCAGAATCACTAAACCAGGTTTGCCATAGCTGGTGTTTTTTCGGGTGACGGCAGTTCCGGTTAGTGGAAATGGGACGGGGGGGCGCCCCCGGTACAGATCACTAAACCAGGTTCCACTAAACTCAGTTCTGCCAACGCCCGAGAGAGGTGGAACTCAAAATTCAGCAGGTGTTCTATGGTGATCGTTCTCTTGTTCGTTGTTTTGCCGATCGGCGCGGGCCCTCGCATCACCCCCCCGCCCCCGCCCCTGGAGCAAATCTTGGCTGTTTTCTGGCGCCTGTTTCGAGCAGGTGGGGTTTCCTCCAGAATGGACGCTCTGTTGCAAAGCAGGGGGGCCGGAGCCAGGCCCCCCCCCCTCCCCCCCCCTTTCCGCCAAATGGCGAAACGCTCACATGACGATGGATCGTCATAACAAAAAAAATTGTTTGCTCCTGAGTTAAAGCTCTGACAAGGAGGATCGGGCAGGCCTCCGACGAACCGTGCGAACGGCAACGGGGGGCACTACGTGCCATCGAGGACTGCAGGAGCGTGGCCCGCAAGGGCCCGTAAGCATTGCTCGGGCCAGACGAAAGGGGGGGATCGGGAAAGGGGGGGGTACGAGATCTGCTGCATGCAGCTGGTTTCGGCTCCGCCGCCGAGCCCATTCCTCGATACATGGGCGCATCCGGCGCCGGGAGGCGCCGGGAAAATCAGCTAGGTGAGCCGATTCTCAACCCCCCCCTTTGCTATCCCCGCCTTTCGCCCGACCCGAATTCCCACCGCGAGCGCACCCTGTGCACGAGAAGCGGCTCCTCGGGAGGCGGCGGGGCTCCTCGGAGAGCCCCCCGCGCCCTCGGTGAGAGGCCCGCTGCGCCTGCGGGGACGGCTCGGCCAGCCTCGCAGAAGACTGGCGGGGCCCCTCGGAGCCCTCTGCGCAGCCCCGCCTCCCTCCCGAGCTCGTCGGCCGCCCCTCGCTCGCTCGGCCCCATCGGATGGCCCGTTCCCAGGCGGCGTTGGCTGTTTTGGCGTGTTTCGGGAGTCTCGAGACGGGGGTCAGCCAGGGTGCCGGATCCTGCAGGATCCTGCGAAGGCCCCCGCTGGCTGACCCGGGTTAGCGAGCCGCTCGTGGCCGCGAGGCGGCGGCGCCTATTGGCTGACCCGGGTTTGCGAAGACCTGCGTTGCAGTTTTTTTTCCTGCATTGCAGTTTTTGGTTTCTTGCTGACCTGGGTCTGGATTGACCCGGGTCAGCAGATCCCCGATTGTTTTTGTTTGTCCATCGGTCGCTTTGGTCGCCCCAGGCTCGTCGGCCGCCCCTCGGTCGCGCGGCCCCCGTCGGCTTGCCCGTCGGGCTCCCAAGCTGGTTTGGGTTGGTCTGGCTTGTTTTCGCTCCCCCCACCTCACCTCGATGCCGATCTTAAGGATTCCCTCAGTTTCTGAGGGCCTACCCCTGAGACTGTCCTCGCTTTTTACCCGCCCATATCAGGGATGAGGATACGTTCGAGGCTGCTTTCTCCTCCCCCCGGGGGCTCGCCGCCACGAGGAGCAGCAGCCGCCGGCCCGGGCCTCCCCGCCCCGCCGGGGCTTCCTCTCGGCCCGGGGCGCCCGAGGCCGACGCACGCCATCCGGCTCGGCCTCGCCCTCAACTTCTCCGTCTTCTACTACGAGGCCGCCCCGCGCCCGGGGGCCACCTCGCCGTGCGGCGAGCGCCGCCCCTGCAGGTCGACCCCCCGGGCCTCCGCCCGAGGTCGACCTCGACGGACCGACCCGAGCCGCGCTGCCAGGGACGAGAGCGAGGCTGCCATGGAGCTTCGTGGGCCCTGGGAAGGACAGGGCCGTTTTTTGCTCCCGTTTCCGTTTCGCTGTTTTTTTCTCCCGTTCCGACGCCGTCTCGTTGCCGATTCCGTCGCTATGTTTTCCCCAGTTCCGGCTCCGGTTCCAATCCTGGAACCGTTTTGTTTGCCGTTTCCGGTCGTTTTTTTGTTGTTTCCATTTTCCAGAGACATGTTTCCTTAAATTGTGAAAACCCGGCCTTGCCGTTTCTGCTGCACACTGATTAAGCCATGGACCAAGATGAGGGCACCCATGGCACGCATCCGGCCCGCTTCAGTTAGCGCTTACCACAAACAATAGAGATAGAGAGAGAGAGAGAGCAGAGATTTCTCTCGCTGCATGACCCTGCTGGTTATGTAGAGGTTTGCCTCGCCCGTTCCTGCGCGCGAGATGTGACCCCTCGATTGCAGTCTGTCCTTCCACGCAGCGGCTTCTGCACCTTGTGTTTAGCATGCTGCACGGGGCCCCGATGGCTTTTCGCCATGCCTGCAGCAGCCTCGATGCAGTTCGGGGGCAGCGCGCGAGGCCTCGATGGCGTCTTGGGGGTGCGGATACAACAGCCTCGAGGCACCTCGGGGGCGGCGCGCGGGGCCTCGATGGCTGCTTTGGGGGGGTGCGTGCGGCAGCCTCGATTTGCTGCTTCGGGGAACTGTGCGGGGGCTCGATGTGTTTGTCGGCTCGACACCCTGAGAAACCGGATGAGTGGGGACTGTCAAGAAATCAGCTCCTGAAGTACGCATTGTCCTGAGTAGACCCCCGACGCGCGCAGCTTCTCATGCGAGGCCATGGCCTCACCCGCCTCTCCCTTAAGGGGCCCGGGCGCGTGCCCGCACAGGCGTTCCGTTTCGTTCCGTTCCGTTACGCTGGCAATGGCCGCGCACGGGGGGGCGGCGCGGGGGCGGGGGGAGAGTTTGCAGGGCGCGCCGTGCAAACCCGGCTGACCCTCAACCAGGGCCTCAGTAGTGACCTCGAGTCTGACCTGAATTGAGCGCATGTTTCAAATCTCCGGGCCATCACGCGCGTTCTGCCCCCCCTTTCCCTCCTCCCCCCCAATAGCGCAACGCTCGCCCCCCCCGCCCCTTCCTCGACGCAGTGCGCCTCCAGCACTGCCACTGTCATGCTCGTATGCTGCTGTGGTGCTTGCAGTCTACTCTTGCGTTCGTCGTGGTGTCCTAGGGTCTCGCGGGGCCTGCAGACGCTTCCAGTGGCCTCCGTGGGTCTCCGGAGGCCTTAGGAGACTTCTGTAGACCTTCAGAGAAGGCCGCCGTCCTCGTCGTAGTCGTCGTCGTCGTCGTCGTCGTCGTCGTCATCGAACTTGTCGTCGAACTTGTCGTCGCCGTTGTCGTTGTCGTCGGCGTCGGCGTCGGCGTCGGCGTCGGCGTCGTCGTCGCGATCGCTGTATTAGTCGTTGTCATCGTCGTCCCCTTCCACGTCCACGTCCTCGTTCCGGTCTTTGTCCTCATCCTCCTCGTCCTCGTCGCTGTCGTCGCCGAGGGCCTTGTGAAGGGCATCCAGACGCTTCCAGAGGTCTCCAGACCTCCAGAAACCTTCAGAGGCGATCGTCACCGTCGTCCTCGTCCTCGTCCTCGTCCTCGTCGTCTTCCTCATCGTTGTCGTCTTCGTCGTCGTCCTCCTCCTCCTCTTCCTCCCCGTCCTTGTCTCCGTCCTCGTCCTCGTTGTCTGGGGCCTCGAAGGGCCTCCCGACGCCTCCAGAGGTTTCAGCGGCTTCCGTAGGCCTCCTGAGACCTCCAGAGACCTTCAGAGGTGACCGTCGTCCTCGTCCTCGTCCTCGTCGTCTTCCTCATCGTCGTCGTCTTGCCTCCAGAGGTTACCAGAGGCTTCCGTAGGCCTCCTGAGACCTCCAGAGATCTTCAGAGGCGACCGTCGTTGCGTCGTCGTCGGCGTCTTCCTCGTCCTCATCCTCGTCGTCATTGTCCTCGTCCTCGTCCACGTCCTCGTTTCGTCCCTGTTGTCGTCCTCGTCCTCGTCCTCATCGTCCTCGTCGTCGCCGCCCTCGCCCTCGTCCTCGTCGTCGTCGTCGTTGCCGAGGGCATCGAAGGGCCTCCAGACGCCTCCAGAGGCGGCCATCGTCATTGTCGTTGTCGTACTCGTACTCGTACTCTTTGTCGTTCTCGTCCTCGTCGTCGTCGTCGCCGTCGTCGTCGTCGTCGTCGTTGTCGTCGTCTCCGTCCCCGTTCTCGTCCTTGTCCTCGTCGTGGTCGTGGGCGTCGTTATCGTCGTCGTCGTCGTCGTCGTCCGGCGCTTGGGTGCCCTCGTCGCTCAGAACGCACCACCACATGGTAATGTTCGAAAGAGGGTGCGGGGGAACGAAACACTGCGGTGCCAGTAGTGCACGTGTGCATTGCGTATGCCATGCGCAGTACATAGGCCATGTGGTGCACGCGGCTGTGGCAGTGCATACTGTGCTGCGCACGGTGGTGCTTGTTGTGATGCGCGCAGGCGCTCTGTTGCCGGAACCACAAGGCCGGGGGGGCGGTTACGTCCCCGAATAAAACAGTGCGCTCATTTTGACCTCTATCTTGACCTCGGTAGTCACCTCGGCGTTTTAGTGGGGCCTCAATTTGGAACTCAATATTCGCCTCGCAGTTTGAGTCGGGCCTCAATTTTGACCCCGTAGTCACCTCAGCATTTCAGTCGGACCTCCAACTTGACCTAAATCTTGAGTTCGCTTGTTTGGTTTCTCAGCAATGACGTCAAACGCCTATGCGTGTCCCAACTTTGACTTCACTTTTGACCTCAATCTTGACCTCGGTATTCACCTCGGCGTAGTCGGGCCTCAATGTTTTGGAGGATGAAAGAGGGGGTCTGCAACAGGGTGTCTTCAATGGAGTCTGAATGGCCCATGTATGCTCAATGTATCGCTCATGTATGTCATCGGTTATGATTGGCATCCAATGTTGGCGGTCATGGCGGGCCAGTCGTTCGTGCCCGCGCGTTGCCCGCGCGGTCAAACGCGCCGTCCATCCATTATCGTTCATGCGTGCGGGCGTTCTTGCACATTGCACGTGGGCTTGCGAAGTGGAGTGCAAGTGTGTCTAGGTTGTGCGATTGATGACCGTGTATGTCCCCAAACAATGATTTGTCGACCACCAAGACAGATTTGGAATGGGTCCCGCGATTCTCCCAAAATGCGCATTCACATTTCTTTTGTTCCCCAACATGTGAATTCACATGTTCCTTGTTCCCAAACTGTGAACTCACATTTTGGCCCTTCATAAAGGTTTCTACACAACGCTCCATCATGTGAATTCACATATTGTCTTTTTTCCAAAATGTGAATTCACATGCTGATTTCCCCACAATGTGAATTCACATTTCGCCCTGGCCCTCAATATCCCCAAAACTGAAGAGCAGTGTTCCGCATGTCAGATTGGCTGGGCAGGTTTTGACACTCACCTCACCGCTGTCGTTTATTCAAACATTGTCGTTTGCGCCCTCAGCGCGCGTTGCCTTCGTCGCCTTTCCCGAGCCCCCCGCCCCCTTGCTTCGTTCACCCGCAAGTTTCGCGCATGGGTGCAGGCGGGGAGCTTCACTTGGTTCCCCCGCCGAACACAGCAATCGAGGACGCATCGCCCATGCATGGCCCATAAAGACAACTGCCGGAACCTTGCGCCCGACCCCCACTTTTACCGTCCAAAGTTTGACCTCCGTATTCGCCTCGGGGTTTTTGTCGGACCTCAATTTGGACTTCGGTATCCACTTGGCTTTCTGGTCGGGCCTCGATTTGGACCTCGGTATTCACCTCGACGTTTTACTCGGGCCTCAATTGTGACCTCGGCATTTACGTCGGCGCAAAATGCCGACCTAGGCTCTCACCGATCGGCCCAGGCCCGAACCCGCCCGAGTCCTGGCCCCAACCTTAGCCTTGACCCCGACCCGACCCGTGACCCTGCGCCCTAAGCCCCATGTCCTGAGCTCAGCGCAAGTCACAAGCCGCCGGCAAGTGCCGGCCAGGCCCAGATTCTTAGGTCCCAAATTCGAGACCCTAGGCGCAACCCCAGGCCCCAGCCCTGGCCCTAATCCCAGGTATTAGTTTTAGCCGTAGCCTGGGCCGTAGGCCTGGGCCAAGCCTAAGCCCAGGGCCAAGGCCAGGGCCTGGGGCAAAGGCTAAGGCCTCGGGTGTGGGCTAGGGCTAAGGCGTGGGCTAAGGGGCTAAGGGCCCATGCGATGGCCCAGGTCCAGGGACCAGGCCCAAGGCATAAGGCTTCAGCTTCAAACCCAGGGCCCAGTCTTCGGGCCTGGGACCAGGGCCTGTTCAGGCCCTGGTCTACTGGCGGAGCAACGGCCAGGTCGCGGGCATGAGCGGCAAGTCTTCATGTATTCGGCGGAGTCGGATTGCAGATCGTGTCGGCAGTCCCTGTGACGGCTCGCCGCCCATGTACTTGGGCGGCGAGATGCAAGAAGGGAAGCGGACATGTCACGGCAGCCCTTGTGTTTTGTTTTTGTTCGACGACCTGACGCGCCCGAGTACCCACGACAACCCCGCGCTACCGACCGCAACCCCCGAACTTCGAACCCAAAGCACCCAACCTTCTGCCAAACGCAACCCGATGTGAGGGATAGACAAGACACCACAACGCACATGACAAAACAAGGACAGCGCATGAAGGCCCAGGGGGCCCAAGAGGGCTCCAATCTCCCACAAGATGGGCCACATATGACTTCATGTGTCGCCCGCCAATTATTCATTCTGTGGTTTGTCGCTGGGCATTTCTCGGGATGGTCGCCCGCAGCCCAGCCAAGGTTTGTTGTTCGGTCACCCACCAATTTTCGGGTTGGTCGACCGCCCTTTCTCGGGGGCCGTTAAGGAGACGATCGAGGATTTCCATGGGAAAAGACAAGTCATCGAGGTCTTCTGTAGACCACCCAGATGTCAACGAGGCATTGCATGACGCACGCGAAAGCATGGATGTGTTTCATGGCCAACCGAGGGCTTTTCGTCAAGGGCATAAACGCCCCTACCCTAGTTTACGAGACGCTGTGCGCTGAAACTCCTGTGGGCTGACAGGGTAAACCCTGCGTGATGTGCGGCGTCCTGGCGGCTCTCTAGGCTTAAGGGGTTTTCAGGAGGTTTACAGGCCACGCACTTGTAACCCAGGGTAGGGTCGTTTTTTTCCATCTGTCAATTTCGGGAGAAGACCAGTGGTGTTTCACGGCGTGCTCAAGGAATAATTGTGGTATTGCATGGCGCACGCGACCACATATTGAGGCGTTTCACGCACACAGAACCATCGAGGTCTTTCGTGACGCACCTGAACAACATCGATATGTTTCGTGACGAAGCGAACCGCATCGAGGCTTGTTTCCTACATCGGAACAAACTACATCGGCGTAAACAGCACGGTCATTACCGAGAGAAACCCCAACGCAGCACTTACTTTATGGGGAATGCGGGCGAATGTTTCCTACGGCTACCTGCGAACCAAGCCGACGCTCTCCTCAGAGGAACAAATAATCCTGGAAGAGCCTTCGGCGCCATGGCAGGCAGGATTCTCCTGGAGATTATGATCAGAGCGCACATCCGGGAGATGTCCACGGATCAGCGATATCGTTGTTTTGCTTCCCCATTCAAATGTCGAAAATTGCATAAACGTAAATTGTTGGCGCTCCGCGCTGATTTCTTTGATCCTCGCTGGGCCCCCCCCCCTCCCTGTCGCGCGGAGCGCGCCAGGGGCGGCGCCAGAGGCGACGCCAGGGGTGTTAGGGTTAGGGCTGGTGTTCATGTCCAGCTTGTTTGGTTGAGGGTTAGGGTGGTAGGGTTCGGGTTTCGGTGGTAGGACTACGGCGTTAGGTTTAGGATCAGGATTAGGGTTAGGGAGTTAGGGTTAGGGTATTAGGATTCGGGTGGTAGGGTTCGGGTGGTAGGATTAGGGTGTTACGGTTAGGGCGTTGGGCCTTCGTGAAGGCTGTAAAGACCGAGCCGACGCATATGATAAGAATGTGGGCCTTGCGAAGGGGATGCGGCGAGTTGTCGTTCTTTGGGCCCTGCCGGGGGTCCTCTTGGAGCGGCTTCGGGGCTTCTTGACGCTTCTTTGGAGTGTGGGGAGGCCATCTTGGGACGTGCTGGGGCCATCTGTGTCGACTTGAAGGCAATTTTGTGCCGTCCAGGAGCGCTGCAGAGGCCAACCGAGGTCGCTTGGGAGCATTTTTGGAGCAGATGTGGACGCCACGTTGTCGCCCCCCCCACTTTCAAGCCAGGCATGGGTGTTGGGGACCCCAACGAGTCGACGATGCATGTGCCTCAGGCTGCAGTGTTTGTTTACGGATTGGGTGGTTCCCAATGATACCACTGTATTGCTTCCCGCGGCCCATTGTCGGCCAATGTTTTGTTGGCTCAAGAGACGGGTTGTAATTTCGAAGCCCAAGGGTCTTGCATTTGGGCATTGCGCCCTTCTGGTACGCGGAGGCTGTGTCAATGAGGTGTATGCTACGATATCCAGAACACACGACAAGAGCGCATGCGCGACGACCAAAGCAGGGGGGCGATACGCGCCCGACGACAAACGATGGCGACTGCGACGCGGGCGTCGACGACGAGGGCGACGAAGACGAGGGCGACGATTGAAGCAGAGCAGCGATCTAAACAGAAAATGTTGGAGGCCCGCGCGGATGCATGTGATCAGCGCTTAGCCCACCTTTTCGCCGCGCACAGCGCACCAGGGGCAGAGCCGGAGGCGCCGCCAGGGGGGTCCATCACCGACCCTTGGAATCCGCGCGGACCTCCGAAGTGATATGCCGATGCAGGTTCTTGGTTTCTCAACTGGCGACGAGGAGGGCCGTCGAGGAGGGCGACGAGGATGTCGCCTTTCTTGCGCCGCCCCCCTCGCGGGAAGGAAGGACCGCACGCGTGCGCGGGCGCCCCGCGGAGGTTTTCGGCAAGCCCGACAAGGCGATCAAGCTCGCGAGCGACGCGTTTCAGAGTGCCTTCGCGGACATGGACAAGGTGGACCAGGACCGCGTGCCAGTCGCAGGAGAGAGAACGGCGCAGGCAGAAGCTTCGGGAGTGCCGCGCGGATTCCTTGGATCTGCGCTTGGGCTCCTGGCGGCGCCTCTGGCGCCGCCCCTGGCGCGCTCCGCGTGCCAGGGAGGGAGGGGGGGGGTATGGCGCAGATCCCAGAAGTCCGCGCGGATGCCCAACATTTTAGGCTCATGCGTGTTTTTTGTTCCCCTACGAGAGCCAGGGGATGGAAAGCATACTGATGACGATGCCCTTCCCTATCTTCGCCCTTTTGGGGGGCTTCCTGGACAGCCGTCGTCGCCGCGGCTGGGTTCGGCCCGGAGCCGTGGCCAGAGAGCACCCCAGGCGAGGTGTAGACAAGTCGACATGGACCGACCGAAGGACGTCAACAGAACACAGACCAGTCATGTCCAGGCCCATCCTGGACATCGGTGATTGTGCCTTCGCTTGCTCGGCTAGGAGGGCGCTGTTTCACCCTCCGTTGATCCTGCGATGGGCTTGGCGAGGATCGAGGTGGCCCATAGTGGGCGTACATCTGGCACATCGGTTAAAGGCAACCCCAGCTTTGGAGGGGACCCTATGTTTTCGGCAGTCGGTTGCGTTCGGTCGGTTCGGTTCGATCGGTTGTTGTGTCGCTGTTGCGGTGCTGCACCTTCTAGACTGCATGCGGCCTGCCGGTTTCAGCCAGCTGCGGTTTCGCCGTTGGTTCGACCGGTTTGGGACTGCGTTGTCTCCGCGGGCAGCCCCGGAGAGGGGGGGGAAGGACACAGAAACGGGGGGCAGAGTGGAGGCGGAGGGGCTCCGTCCTCGAGCACGAGGGAGGGGGAGCGCATCGCACCGGCACCTCCGCGACTGAAGCTGGTGGCCTCAGGGGCAACAATGGGTGGTTACGTTGCATCCTCGGGGGATCTCACCTGTCCCCCAGAATTGGTGTCTTCTTTTGTGCCCGACCTGGGCTCGATGCGGACTGGACGCGGATTTGGCGCGGACTCGACGCGGATTCGACACGGATCCGGCAAGGATCTGACAAGTCCAACATGTATTCGCTACGGATTCGATGCCGATAGGGCCGCGACGAGACGAGCAAGGCCCCCCGAGGATGCAACATAAAATAGGTGGGTAGGCTCAGGAGGAGATACATCGACCCTCAATCGCTCATTGATCGCCGATATGGGCCGATCGCCCGCCCTGCCCAGGACCGCGAAGATGTTCTATTAGAAAGCTTATTGACGACCAATTGGCGATGTAGCTCGATGCTCCCTCTGTCAAGCAGTGGCGAAGCGTCCTGGTCTGCCTGTAGCCCTTCGAGGAGTGTTCTAAGAACCTTTTCGAATGGTTTGCACGAGATGTTCGCAGAACAGTTCTGGCTGAGACTGTCTTGTTCCCAACCAGCCTGTTCTTGGGTCCTCGTTTTGAAGAGACAGTCCCCGCGTTCCTCCTCTTCTCCTCCTCTTCCTCCCCCCCCCTCCTCCCGTCACCCCCCTCACCTCGATACCCCTCACACGTTTCGTGTGACGTGACAACCATAGGAGCTCTACCGAGGGTCCCAGTGGCGCAGCCGGCATGCGTCCCCGCCACCCATTCCGCCACACCCCTCACATGCTTCGTGGCCCCATAGGGAGCCCCACCGAAGGTCCCAGTGGCGCAGCCCGCATGCGTTCCCGCCACCCGTTTCGCCACCTCACACGTTTCGTGGCCCTACAGGAGCTCCACTGAAGGTCCCAGTGGTGCAGCCCGCATGCGTCCCCGCCACCCATAGAGGATTCCCGCCGAAGGTCCCAGTTGCACAGCCAGCACGTGTCCCCGCCACCCGTTCTGACACACCTCTCAGATGTTTCGTGGCCCCATAGGGAGCTCCACCGAGGATCCTAGTTGCGCAGCCCGCAAGCGTTTTCGCCACCCATGTCGGCACACCTCTCACACGATTCGTGGCCCCCATAGGAGCTCTACCGAAGGACCCAGTGGCGCAGCCCGCGTGCGACCCCGCCACCCATTTCGGCACACCCATTACGAAATCCGCCAAGCCTTCTTCGCTGACCTATTGGACACAGTACGGCCGACTACACAGCATAGCTGTACGTTTATATTTGGCGACTTCAACGCGAAGCTATTGCAGCAACATCCCAGCGAAGCAGAATCTATAGGTACGCATGTTTTTCAATATGATATTCTTCAGAGTTCTGTACATCGGAAACATATTTCAAACAGGCAACTTCTACTTGAACATTGTGTCGCTACGGACATGGTCATTGCAAATACGTTTTTCGACATTCGTTTTGAACAGCAGGTCACGTACAGAAATCTTGGTGTGCCCCCCATGGACAGCGACATCTCGCCGACAAAGTTCGCTCAGATCGACCATGTGCTTTGTCATGCCTTTCTTCTTCCTTGTGTGAAGCTCTGCAGCACGCACCAGGCCGAGGCATTGAACAGCCACCACTATTTGATGACGGTGACACTTGGGATGACATTTCAGACGAAACCCGTTCATGTGCAGACTCACGTGGACAAAGCTTCGGTGCGGGAGCCGGCCTTGCAGGTCGATTTCACGAACCGTTTTCGCAGTAAGTGGGAGGAAACTCACGCTGCAAATTGCTCTCTTGACGAAGCTGCGGTGGACGTCGAAGCTGCTTTTGACGTTGCGACTGATACTCTGCGACGCAGGCCGCAACCTGCCCGGCGACCTTGTATTTCTCAGGCCCATCTGGACCTTATCGAACAGAGAAGCGTGCACAGGCGAATGGGCGACGTTTGTAAAGAGAACGCGCTTAATAAGGCTATCAGGAAGGCTGCGCGGGCAGACCGCACAAAGTGGGTTAACGATACGCTCATTGGGGGAAGTTGGGGCGCAGTGAAACAATTGAGGAAATTCAGCTCAAACCAAATACGCTGGAGTCAGAGATATGAGTAACAATCCTACCGATGCCGCGCATCGCCCTGAAGCCTTGGCCGACTACTTCGGAAAAAATACAGTGGAAAGTTACGTTCCCAGAGGTGGTTCCCACAGCTACGCGCCCTCTTGGACCACAGCGCCCCGTCGACGACCGTCAGTTTTCTACGAATGAGTTGCTTTACGTTTTGAAGAGGATGAAGACTGGTAAAGCGTGAATGATGTGCCTCCGGATATTTGGAAAGTTGTGTCTAAAGATGAACGCGCATGTCAAGCACTCCAGGAGGTATGCCAAAGATGCTGGACAGAACAAGACAGACCAGAAACATGGAGACTGGCAAACGTGGTTCTACTGTTCAAACAAAAAGGACACGCGACTTTACCTAGCAATTCTCGTCCGATTTCGCTGCTCTCGGTGGGGTGCAAAGTCCATGCGGCTATGCCACACCAGCGATTGCGTCAAGATGGCGCGGAAGATCGATTGCGAGATTGACAAGTTGGATTTTGTCCTCGCTGGGGGACCGCTGATGCGCTCATGTTGGCGAGACGCATGATCGATGCAGCGCTCTTGAACAACAGTGGCGGCATTGTTTTTCTCCTATTCGATTGGGCAAAGGCATTTGACCGTCTAAAGCCAGATTGTCTGTGCGATGCTTTGTCTCGGTTTGGGCTGCCGCGTCCTTCCGTGCAAACATGATCAATGGGATTTACTTGCGTCGTTATTTCACCATCGTTGGCCTTTGCGGCACATTGTCACGACGACGACAAGCGGCAGGCATCGCCTAGGGATGACCTTTATCCCCGTATTTGTTTATTATTGTGCAAACGGTAATGTTCCACGATGATTTCTCTGACTTGCGCCTTCAGCAAGATCAGGACTACGTGGTCGCCAGGGATATCCTATACGCCGACTGCGCTGCAGCTGTTTCACAACACGGTGGGGATCTACAGCGCACGTTGGTCGCCATCTTGATGGAAACGCAGAAATACGGATTGGAATTGAACTTGGACAAGACAGCACACATCCAAATTGTTGACGCTTCGCGTATCCCCACCAGCCCATCCAGAAACGATGCTCAGGGGAGTTGAGGTGATCAGGGAAGTCGGGGAGCATGCAGAATAACAAAGGGCGGGGGAAGCTGTCACAGACCCCGAGAGGGGGAGGATGGAAGAGGAGTCGTCGTCGTCGTCGTCGTCGTCGGAGGAGGAGGAGGAGGAGGGGGAAGAGGGAGGAGGAGGAGGAGGAGGAGGACGGAAAGGAGGAAGAATCGGAGGAGGAGGAGGAGGAGGGGAAGGAGCTTCTTGGGGGTCTTTTGAGGGCCTCTTGGAGGGCTTTTTGGGCGCCTTGGGGCATCTTGGGCGCCTCTTGGGACCCTCTTGAGGCGCTCTGGGGAGCCTTCGGGGCGCTTTTGGGGCCATCTTGGAGGGAGTCGATCAAACAAGAGGGGGGGTTTAATTAGCGTCCCCCCTCGGAAGCCCCTAAAATCGCCTCTTGGACCCCTCTTGGAACGCTCTTGGAGTGCTCTTGGGCGCTCTTGGGGCCGTCTTGGGGCTCTTTTGGGGCTCTCTTGGGGCCCTCTTGGGCCATCTTGGAGCCATCTCCAGGCCTCGGATAGCCATCGGAAGCGAAAAGGCGAGAAAGCAAAAATCATTGATTTTCCTTAGGTTTTGGGACGATTTTGGCCTCTTCGGGGCCTCCTTGGGGAGCTGTTTGGCCACTTGGAGTTATCTTGGGGCCGTCTTTGGGCTTCTTGGAACCATCTTAGGAGCCATCGTGAGCGATCTTGCGCTATCTTGAGCCATCTTGGAGCTCATCTTGGGTTCTCTGAGGCGCTCTTGGAGCCGTCTTGGGCCATCTTGGACGCTCTAACTACCCGCGGCCCCCCCCGTCCAGGTCCAGGGGAGGGGGTAGGGGGAGGGGTAAACCCCTCCCCAAGGGGGAAGAGGGAGGGGTGGAAGAGGATCTGCTCTAGACCACCTACGCCCAGAGGGCTGGACAAGACAGCACACATCCAAATTGGTTATACAGGTTTGGTTAGGAAGCCGGACGGACGCCCAATCAAACGAGCGCAGGAAGCCATATAATTGGGGGGGGGGGGGCTGG